ACCTTAAGAGGCATCAAATTATCTTAACACAAACGTGCTAAGGCACAAAAAGCAGAGGGGTTTCAATCGAAATCGCACCCTCAAAAAATCCAATGGGTAAAAAATATGTGCTAAAGCATAAAGAAATTTTTACTAAGTATTTTAAGCCGAAATAGGGGAATAATAGCCATCTTTTAGAGGCCATACTGGCCCTAGCTAAAGAGCCTAAAGGCCAATAAACTTAGAGTTCGAGATATTGTTCTCGTTCTGTCCGAACCTAAGGGTTCGACTAGTTCGAGCCCAAATAAAAACTGACTTGACTATGGCTCGGGAACTTATCATTATTCGACACAAACCCTAAAGGGCATATGCTTCAGGTTCGAACCTTATTCGAACTCGACTGTGGTGACTTCGAGGAAGCCACCCAAAACCAAAATCTCGAATGCACCACTCAAAGCATAATATTGTGCTAAAAGTTTTACAAGGCAAAAAGGTTTGTAGATAAAAATTGAGAAGGCATTCAAAAGAAAATTTCCTTTTTATATTGATGAAGAAGGATATGTACAAGAGACCGACAGAGGTCATACAAAAAAGAAAAAGAAACTAAGTCCTAACTACGGCTGGGGGCGACCTCTTTGTCGGGGCAGCTTCTCCTTCGGGCCCCTCGCCATTGTCGGATCTGCCTCGACTGCCTTCATCATCATCAACTTTATCATCAGAAGAGATGAGCAGCCTAGCATCGACCTCAAGTGCCTTGGCTTGGGCTATCTATTAGAAAGTCTCCCTCTGGGATTGGCGCTTCGCTAAGTCATTGCTCCATTGCTCTCGATCAGAAGCCTCCCTTAGTTGCATTTGAGCAGCCTCGACATCAGCCATGTACACGGCTATGGATTTGTCAGCCATGATCTTCGTCTTCTCGACCCCTGCCTTGGATTCAGCAAGCTCGGCTTCAAGCTCCTCGGTCCTTTTAGCCTGGGCTGAGCTTTTCTCTTTAATGCTATGAAGTTAGACCTCGATCGATGACAGTTTGGCCAAGGTAGCCTTTTTCTTCGCAGCGAGGCGGTCCATGTTCCCCTTCCATCGACCGCAATTGGCTTTGATTTGATCGACTTCCCCTCGGAGTAGCTCGATCCTTTTCAACTTTTGTTGCAACTGAGATATTGAAGTATTAGCCTCCACAGTTGGGTCGAGTCTGTACTTTTTCAAAAGGATAGTTACCTACTTATCTAGCTCGGCCTCTTCCTTACGAGCCTTTGCCAAATTCGCTCGAAGGTCCTTTAGAGCCTCATCCTTTAGGACGCAAAGAAGCTTTAGAGCATTCCTCTCCTCCGAGACTTTCTGGAGCTCGATTTTGCATTGACTCAGGTTGGCTCGAGACTTGGAAAAGGCCTATACAAAAAGAAAAATGCAAGTCAGACTTAAAGAAAGAAGAGTAAGGAAAGAAATCGCAACACCTAATGCTTACCCGAGATAGGAGATGTTGGGCCTCTTCAAAGAGGATGGACGCATCATTGAGATCAACGGCATCATCGACCCTGGTAAAACAATCCTGGAAGGGATCCTCTTCACTGGGGACTTCACCTATATCAGGGGTCTATAGAGCCCGAGCGTCCCTTATAGCCTTGTCGAAAAAGGCCGGTAGAGATGGAGAGTAACCTGTTGTCACAACCCCGAGCGAATCATAGCTCGGGGTGCCCTGTTCAGCCCTAGGGATCTCAGAACTGGCCCCCTCCGGTATATTCGTTGATGTCCAAGGATAACCTCAACCACAGGCGACGCGGGGGCTTTTCTCGAATCTTTCTTCGAGGCCTCCTTATCACGAGGCCGGTTCTCGGCAATCGCCTCCGATTTGGAAGGCTCGGCGGCCTTGACCGGCTTCCTTGCTCGAACCACCAGTGCCGAGTCATCGCCCTCATCTTCTTCCCCCAGCTGGCAGACCGACTCTATAGTCACAGGGATGAGATTCCTCCTGCATCTTTGAATTGGAGCCCTTTTAGGTTGGGGGTCCTCAGACTCCGAGATCCTCTTCCTCTTGTTATCTTTCTCCGACTTCAGAACCGGGGATTCGTCCTCTTCCCCAAGCAGAGCCGGCCTCATTTCAGCAACATCTCCAAGGCCTGCATAAAAGAGAGTCAAGTATAAATAAAGAGAAAGGTTACAGAAGAGGGCATCGAAGGCGTCCCCCTTGCCAAGTCACGCCTAGCAGCGCTCGGCATGGGAGGAAGTCGTAGCCAACTTCCGAACCCAGTCTTTGAGGTCGGGTACCTCGTGAGGCATCCAAGCAACCGCTGTATAACATATGAAAGTATTACATAAAGTGAAAAATAGAGTACGAAGATCAATGGGTAATACGTTACTTACGATCGGGGTTCCACTTCTCGGGGAATGGCAGTTTCTCCTTGGGGATGAGGTCACAGGTCCTTACCTGCACGAACCGGCTCATCCAACCCCAATCCTTGTCGTTGCTCACGAAAAATGCATTCGTCTCTTGGCGTTGGAGCTTGATCAACCCTCAAAATAGCCGAGGTCGATATAATAGTATGAGGTGGTTGAGAGTAAAATCCAGCCCCTCGGCCTTGCTGGAAAAGTAGCGGAGCATGATCACTATACGATAGAATGAGTGGTGAACCTGGCCGAGGGTGACCTGATACCTCTTGCAAAAGTCGATAATGACTGGGTCAATAGGACCCAGTGAGAAGGGCTAAGTGTAGACACTTAAGAACCCCTTCACATAGGTGGTGATGCTCTCTTCAGGAGTGGGGATTTGTTGCACGACCTCGGCCCCCCAATTACAATCTATCTTCACAACCTTAAGATGGTTTGTCGTTATCGAGCAAATGTATCTCGACACGTGTTCACATCGTCCAGGGATCGATGGAGGGTTCACGACTTTGAAGTCGGATTTTAAAACACAGGGCCCGGGAACATACTAGTAAGGGAGCGGTTCCACCGGCGTTTTGTCACCAGCCAGCCCGGAAGAAGAGGAAGAAGCTTTCTCCTTTTGTGGGACGGTCTTGGAGGTTTTCGCCATTGATTCATGTAGAAGGAAGCGAAAAGAGATGAAAATTGGTATTTTTGGTACTAATTAAGTTAACTCAATGGGTAGTGAAAGAGAAGAGATGGAGAGGGTAAGGAACTTAGAAAACTTGATGAGAGGCGAAAGTAAAATTTGATTCAACCAAAAGGCCTGAATTTATAGATTCACGATGGTGCTAGTGGCCGACCGTCACTGGCAAACATTAATGATTTGGAAAACTGTATTGATGGGGCATTTGGATCACCTCGATCGCTTGCGTCACGGGGATGACATCATTATCAGGTTCTCCAGAAAATCGAGGCTCAAGTCGTTTCTTATCGTTTTACTCTAAGAAACAAGGGGACTATCTGTATACGGCGGAAATCGGGGCTACCTGATTTTATTCTTTGGTCGAGATAGGAATGTCACGTCAAATCGCTAGGACTTTGAGTCATCCCGAGGTCGACCTTGATGGCGGACAGAAAGAGGCAGACTTCGAGGGACACACGCATGGCTTGATAACGGAAAAAGCGAGATATCCGCGATTGGTCGAGAATCGTGGCGTGAATCTCGGAATGGATCAATCTACAGTGGTTAATTAGATGTTGATATGATTTCCTACTATAATTAGAAGTGTACCTTATTTAGGATTTCCCTAATATATAAAGAGGGATCTCATTCATTTGTAAGCATGACGATTCACTAATAAGAATACACACATCTACTGCTCTATTTATCTTACTTACCGTTCGTTATTGTTCGTCATTGTTGTTTCATTTCTTATTGTTATTATTGCTCTATCTCGAGACCGTCTCGAATCGAGGTCAAGACTCCACTCGCATACTGGTTTGATCTATCATATCGCTTAATTTATTTGTTTATCAATTGGTATTGGATTAAATCATATATCCTTAAAACCACAATATAAGTTTAATTGTTATTCGAATTTTAGGGTAAACAATATACCTTTTTAGCTCGGAAATTCAATTATTTTGAATACTTTTCTAGCTCGAGAATATAATTAGTTTCGATCGACCGATCAATTTTTGTATTTTGCCCTAAAATCTTGCGTAATTCACTGGCCTGGCCCAGAAGTTTGCTGGGGAAGTTGCCATTACTGAGATAAATATTGACGTTTGGTAATGTTTCACTTTGGCTAAAACTAACACGAAATCACATTACAACATGCATGTGCAGCCAGCCGTGAGTGTAGAAATTTTCTCGTTTGTTTGGAGCATAGCGTGGGCAATAAATAGACATCTGGCTGAAAGTTTGAAACATTTATCAATCATTACCCTAATTAAACGATTTTATCAAGAAAGATTACTTTTTTAGGTCACGAAGTTGATAGCGAGATCTCGAATCAACTTATTCGTCTTACAGTATATGTTAGTATCATGGATAAGAACAAAGATTTGTATTTGCTAATAAACTCTAACTAGCACGGGGTAATACCCGGAATGGCTATTTAGGTGCACTATTTATTAAAAGAAAATATTTTTTTGAATTAAGCATATATGTATCATTGTTCTGTCTACGAGTAATAGTTAAGCAAATTTGACTAGATGTAGTTTCTATACTATTGATTAGTATCTTCTCCGCGTATCCATGCAATAATTAGTAATTGGTATATATATATATAGTGACATAGAAGCAAATTTAAGTTTATTGAATAGGTTTATAAATATACAGGTCAAGTAAAATAATATTGTAAAGCTTACGTGAAAAAATGCTAGCATATTTGGCACCTCGACAGGTTATATTTGTTAATATTAATGGGGGAAAAACCAATATATAAGCTTTGTTCATTGTCTAAATTTGTTAACCATAACCTTTAACATTATTTAATTATTTACTTTATTTATTTTACAAATTTTACGTTTGGTGACCTACATATGGGCATGGCTGCAATACATTTAGTTCAAGCAACTTCTTAAGTTCCAATAATTCCAACTGCTTTGCACCTAACTCAACTTTGAAATAATAATCATTTACTCTATCAAACTGTCAAAAAAAAAGTTACATTTATTCTATTACAATCAAAAAGTACCTTCAAGTGAAAAAGAAAATCTAGAAAAACACATTTTTTTATAAATTAAAAAAAAAAAGACAAATATCCCGCCGAAGAGGGACTTCATTGTTTACAATTCAAACACAACCCTTAGACAAGAGGAGGTTGCTGAGATGGTCAGCACTCCCCACCTGCAACCCCAAAAAAGATCCAGTAGATGTTCGTGCTCGTACTGTATTCAAATTCTGGATTCACCTCTGACCCGATTAAATCGTTACCTTCTCTTGTTCTTACTTCCAAGCAACAAACTGAAGTAAAACAAAACCCTAAAGAAAAATCCCCATGCAATAGTAATCCACAAACAACCCCACATACTTAACTCAGTAATCCCTTGTTGAACCAATATATCAGCACCAGTAGTAACACAAGTAGAACCAGTAATCTTGACATTCAATGTATTACTCATTGTACTCAACAACTTCTCTTTCAATTCAATTGGCACTGATCCAAGTGGAGAATTATCAAACATTTGAATTCCCTTAACAAAACATTTTGTTGGATCATCAAATTCATTTTGTAACACAGCTTCATATGGATATTTCACCAAGGAAAGATAGTGAAACCATATCCAATAAGGTGGGATTCGATCACGATTCATGAAAAATCCAGAGAAGAGCAAGAAATAGGCAAGAATTGCCACAACAATTGTGTAACCTAGCATAACACTAGGTACAACTCCAGATAAGAATGTGACAAATGAATTTCCAGCCCAAAATGAAGCCAAGATTATCCCAAAATAAAACATGAAACCAGAAAATCCACCATCTAGTCCAACTGCCCAAAATGTTATAGCAGCAAATGCAAATGATAGGAAAATCAATGCTGGTAAAGAAACCAAAGCATGAGATAGACAATAAGATGATCTCCTATATGCATTATAAGCTGTTTCCCTCATAAAAATATACCTTTCTTGTAGAAAAACAGGCAATGCATCAGCACAAGTGTAGAAAGTTGTTGACATTGCAAATGCAAAAAAACCAAGTCTTTCTTGAACCCCTTTAGGTGAATTGTCAAGTTGCCAAAACATAGTAGCTAAGATGAACCCCGTGACAACGATTGCACCTAAACGAATGCCAAATAGCTCGGGCACCCTCCACGAATTAGTAAACGATCTCTTTGACAACGTAGTCATTTCGATCCAAAAGGGATTCGCGTATGTAGGAACCATTGATGCAGGGGAAGTATGATCACTTGTTGTTCCTGAAACCAATTTCCCTCTTGAAATGCTTGCACTTATTGCTTCTTTCAATGATAATCCATGTGTTGGAGTTGCTATTTCACAATTTTGATTGCTCTGCCTTTTGGTATTTTGCCATGTTTTATTGAATTCGACTAAACTTTTTGTCCCTCCTGGGGATCCTTCTAGCTCACGAATTAAATCCAGGGCAAACTCTGTCCGATTTTCATTGTCTGGTATCGGGTGACCAAAATCAGCAAAGAAATGTGGAAGATTCATAGGGGATCCACTATAAACAGTTTGTCCACGGGACAAGAAAAGCATACGATCCAATAAACCAAGAATTCTATAACTTGGTTGATGAATTGACATGATTACAATACTTCCACTTTGAGCAATTCTTTGAAGAACTTTCACTACCATGTATGCACTAGTGGAATCAAGCCCTGAAGTTGGTTCGTCGAGAAATAAGATGATGGGGTCATGAATAATATCAATTCCTATGGAAACTCGTCGTCGTTCTCCACCAGACACTCCACGATGACCCTGTTGGAAATACAATCAGACCTCTATAACAATCATTCTATATAACAATATTTCATTACAAAGGCCAAGTTTTGTTTGAAATCAATCTTTAATGTTATGTTTATATTACTATATGCTTTATATAACAACATTTCGTTGTAGTGTTCTAATATAGCTCCTATATATAGATATATGAGAGTCTAGTATACTATTTTGTAAGAGTGGAATTTATCATTATATAATATTTATCAATATGCATTTTTATTTTCCCTCCCATGCTCTATATGCCTCAAGAGAAATAAAAGATTGGATAATCTAATCAAATAATATTAGAACTATGGTCGAGAAAAAGTAACAATATCTACTCGAATAGCACAGTGGAAGTGTGTTGAATCAAGATTAGACAGTGATCGTCTTTATTATGAACACTTTATTCTGTCTCCACTTATGAAAGGCTAAGCCACACAACAACTAACCATTGCTATGCAAAGAGCTTTACTTAGAGAAATGGAAGAAACGTGCGAGTCTAGTATACTATTTTGTAAGAGTGGAATTTATCATACCCTTATATTATGAACGCACTCTATATTTTTCAAGTTCGTAAACTCGCAATTGTGCTTTTAAAATATTTTATGAAAAGCTTACGTACCTCATCGCCTATGATAGTTTTTGCAGCATTTCGTAACCCTAATTGATCAATCAAAGCTTGTACTCTCATTTTCTTCTTTGATTTGGACAGAGTACGAGGAAGTCTGAATTCAGCAGCAAACATTAATGTTTCTTCAACTGTTAACATTGGATATAAAAGATCATCTTGCATGACGTATGCTGAAATTACTTTCAACAATCTTGAATCCAATGGCTCTCCATTTAACGTTATTGTTCCTTTCAAGCTTTCTTTTGCAATCCGATTAGCCAACCCGTCGATGAGTGTCGATTTTCCCGAGCCCGACGCGCCTAGAACGGCGACGATTTCTCCATCACGCGCCTCGCCGGAGATGTTGTCGAGGAGCACTTTTGTTCTCGTGAACAAGTTTTCTCCGGCTACCGGATCCCCGGTGGCTGCGGCGGTTCCGGCTACGGGTCGCCGGAAGATCGTCGGAAAAGTCATTTTCCGGGGAACTTTTACGCTGTATGTGAGATTATTGAAGGAGAGTACAAATGGAAGAGAGTTTTGTTGAATGCCTGGATCACTCATATCAAGAACTTGATGTACCGGAGTTTCGTCGCCGGTGACCTCCTTTCTGACATCGCCCACGCGCTTCAGTAACTGACCAAGGGTCGGTGAACTGTACGCGCTGGCCTGTGACATTTCCATGGGTTGTACTCTTTGATCATAAAATTGTACACTTTCTTCCCCTTGCAATGTATTCTCGGCTACTATCCGTGACATTTGTTATCACTCTGACAGTCTAAAGAACTTTTATCGAAAACCTTAATCGAAATATTTAATTCCGTCACTAAGATGCTCAGTTGAATTCTTAACCTTTATAGGAAGACAATAATTTGTGATATTTTTTTGGTAAGACAAAGAATTTGAGAGCAATGAAATGAAATGGGGAGAATTTTGTGGGAAGTTATAATGAAAATGTGAATGATATATAGTTTTTGAGACTAATGTTATGTAGTAGATTGAAAGTAGGTAAGCAGTTTGTGTATGAAAGAGAGACTGAATGGATTGTCTAAAACAATTTCAAACTCTTGTATTTCTCTTCAAGAAAAGCAAAAGAAGCTGGCCTACTGCCTGTTCTATGATGTGTTACTATATATAGAGAGATTTTGATTTATGATTTTGATATCTAATTAATTTAATCTTCATATTCCGTATTAAATTCTTGGGTCATGGTGGGGTAGGGTTTAGCGTTTAAGAGGAGGAT